TTTCAATACCGAAAGATACGGTAGGTACATGGTATTGAACAAAATATTCGGTAACCGCACCGAAACCACCCCTACTTTAAATAATGTAAAATGGTTAGCTAATGCAGAAATCCATGCCAAAGTGTGAGTTTATTGCAACCACACGTGCCCACTGCCCGCTCGTGACTCTTGGACTTTTGAAATATTTGGAATCGGGTCTCGACTAAAATTAATTAAGTTTTATGTGTAATTAAACTAATCGGAGCGTGACATGGGTCCGGGGTGACATCACTGGCCATGAGGCAGACAAGCGAGCCAAATGGTGTCCTGCTCATCCGAAAAAAGTGGTTCATGAATCCGAATTGGTGTTTGGTCCATACGAAAAGATGTGATATCTTTTCAACACCATTTTTTTTCAATAGTTGTGTTAGTTGGTACACAACTCCTAAAAGCTATAAATCGAACTCTGGATTTTCAGCTAATCACTCATTCCAATCCCGAGCATTACATAGTCTTTTGATGTTGTATTACTCACCTTGGGAGGATAGAACGTGAAAACGAGGGTAGGTCATTACATGCGAGTATGTGATCTTGGTCGGAGTCCCTGTCACGTAAAGATGAACACCTGATTCTTAAACCTGCAAGACTAAGACACGTGAACTAAGTCGGGGGTTGATCAGGCAGAAACCCCTCTGACGCTCAAATCAAACAGATGCTTGCCAATCTTGGTCGGAGTCCCTGCCACGTAAAAGATGAACACCTGATTCTCAAACCTGCAAGACTAAGACACGTAAACTAAGCCGGGGTTGATCAGGCAAAAACCCCATTTTGACGCTCAAATCAAACAGATACTTTGGCAGGCAGATGGGTAGGTAGAACAATAGAGTTCTAGATATCATAACTAAGAAAATAGAACGTACCTTGTAAAGTTGAGGGTAGATAATTTATTTATAGTGTGATTAATAGAATTCTTATTAGAGTATAATTTTAAGTAGGATTAGTAAATCCTAATGGGCTTGTAAGAAGTATTAATGAAATTAGGTCATTAGTTAATAACCTTTGTTGATTGATCGGGCCTTTTAGATGGCCCAAATACTAATTGGCTTATTGGGCCGATCCAATAAGATATATCATTTGTATTCTAATATCCCTTTCTTTGTGTCAAGTGTAAAGTGAAAAACACATTTTAGTTCGTAGTATTCTAATATGTTGTGCTACTTTGTTGGAACTGATTAGTCGTTGTATCTTGGATGATAATTGCTATAACCCAAACACTAATATAAGATAATTTTGTCTTAAGGATAAACAAGGTAGTTCTTATCTCGAAATTTTTGATTGTGTCAAATTTAGGTCCAAATTCTGTCAAAATTTTCTCCAAGTTAACATTTCAAAATACAACCTAGTTAACAGTAACTAAGGTTAGACCCCTTCTTATTTGAAAAATTACGGATACTTAGGTTAACACTTAACTCATTTGGCCATTGACTTTTTTAAAAATTTGTTTTCGCCCTTAACCAAATAATGACATGACCAAATTGCATTGTCCTCTCTTGAGATTAATTATAATTATATATATAGACCCCTCATATTTCAAAATATTACAAATACCTTTCTAAAAGTTTTACGTTAACTAAAAATTAATTTAAATTAATTGAATAATATTTTTCATTTTTTTAATTAAATAAATAAATGATGGGGCTCAAGATTCAGTTTATTTGAAATTTCATGTGTTGAAGATCCGACTTGTTGGAACTCAAAACTAATGATATCAAGATCATGAGCTTTTGAATACTTGAACAAATTAAATTTTGAATTTTGTTTTCATAAAAGTATATATTTATGACAAATTTCTTATTTCCTATGCAAGAGAATAATTTGAAGTCCAGTAATGTATTGGGTCCATTCTGTAAAAGACCCAATATAATTATATATTTTGATCCATAAAGGCCAATCCAACATGCAAATTTAGTGTGATGACAATTAGGAATAGTGACTTAGGATGTGACCATTACCGTACCAAAAAAATACGGTATACCAGTATTTGGTATATCGTTACTTTCGATATAATACCGTGGTACATATTATTATCTTATATTAAGCTAAGAGCAACTCCAATGGTAGGCATTAAAATGAGACATCTAAACCATTAATTGATGCTTGAAATAATACTTTGGTACTTCGAAAAAACTTATATGCTCCAACCCTTAGGAACCAAATAAATTATTTTATTTAAAAAATGTATTAAACATAAATTAAAAGATATATTTAGTCCATATTCCATAGGAATTTGTTAGAAAATTTATTCTTTTTACGTTGAAATTGCAGTTCCTAATAGGGGTGAGAACGGTTCGGTTCGGTTCGGTTCGGTTCAGTTCGGTTTTAGGCACAAACCGGAACCGGAACCGAAGTGTTCGGTTCCTAAAGAACAAAAAACCAGACCGATCGGTTCCGATCGGTTTCGGTTCGGTTTCGGTTCCTTCTCGATTCATAAAATTCTCGGTTCGGTTTCAATAATGGTTCGGTTTTCGCTTCGGTTTTGGGCTCATTTGGGCCCGAAAATCAGCCCAAAAACGTCAAGAAATCAACTGAAAATTCAGAAATAAAAAAATCAATAAAAAAAATATATATATATTTAATGAAACGACGTCGATTGATGTCGGTTCGGTTCCTCGGTTCGGTTTCCTACATGGAAAACCGAATACGAACCGAAATTTTCGGTTCACATAAAATTGAAAACCGAGTATGCGGTTTATGCTTCGGTTCGGTGCAATTCGGTTCGATTTTGTCGGTTTTCAGTTCGGTTCCTCGGTTTTTTTTTTTCTCACCCCTAGTTTCTAATTTCTAGGAATATTTGATACTTAGTTTTTTTGGGTGCATTTTTGCATCTCTAGGAGATAAAGTATCAAAAAAACTACCCCTTTGGTGCTTCCGTTAAAGAAGAAATTTTGAGTTTTGAGAATCAAAATGGAAATTTTATCATTTAATACTCCATTTGATTCCCCCATTGGAGCTGCTCTAAAGTTTGAAAATAAAAAAATAGTCAATTTTCTCCACCAATGAGTTTCGGAATATATAAATTTATATTATTTGATTGTGTTTTATGTATTTGTTGAGCTAAATATTACACATTAATTTTAGTCGCACTTATCATTCAATAAACACAAACATTTTCAGAGTGCGAATTGCGCTTATATCTCATTATACTATGATTATTTTATTTTTCTGCTCCCTATCTTTATACTAAATGTTTTATTTTTTTTTAATTAATTTTAAAGACTTTAATATATTTCCACTATGGTCGATTTAACTACTTATAATGTTAACTTTTCACCATTCTTTTAACTTTATATTTACGTTAAATACATACACTAAATATTTTTTATCCATTAATATTGCATACTTTACCAATTAAGTAGATAATAGCAAAAAAAAAATATTTTTATTCATTAATATTACTCGCAATTTATAAAAAGTTAAAACTTATTGTTCCCACTTCATTCCGATATTATCAAACACATTTAATTATTTAACACTATGTA